TTTGGTGAGCATGAGGGTTTTCCATATCACATTGATTTCTGTTATGTTTGAGTTTATCTGAGTTGTCTAATGTATCAAGATATTGTCCGGATTACGTGTTGTAGTTCCGTGACTTAGATACTCACAGTTATTTATATATTGAGGTTATTCAGTGTATTTAGCTTGATTGCAATTTACATACAGGCGATGTTTTGAAAAGGAACTAAGTAATCAACTTGGTTAATATTAATGACGTCATAATTGAAAAGAAAAATTTATTCCTCAATTTTAATTAAGCGTAGCTTAATACGATGACATAATAACAAACCGGGTATACACGGGGTGTTACAGCAGGCTTTCAGCTAGAGAGGTATATAAATAAATCAAATCAACACCTGAACGAGGGGGATCCAGAGGCTGTGCATGTACGAGACTGTACAGTTGAGGATACCTTAAAGGAATTAATAGATACTACTTATTCTAACAAGATGCATTTACTTTTCGGTAGCCAATAATTTAAGAACTCTATAGTTAAGCAAGCTTGACTTGGAGCAATTTTGTGATGGGTGACCTACTGAGAAGTTTCTCAGAAAGTGTGTGAGTGGGGACAAAGTACATTGAAAAATATTGTGTTGGTTGGTGAAAACAATTATTGATCCTGTAAGCGACTGGATGTTACTTATATTCTAAATAGTCTTTTTCTTAAGGCTTTAGAATGTTCTATTTTATTGAATATATTAAATCAGGTCTATATAAACAGACTTTTTTCTAAGGATATAACATGTTCTATTTCATTGAATATATTATGTTAGGTGTAGGCCGAGCCATAGGTTTTTAATAGGTTTTGTGGCTCATTTACATTACTAATGAGATGTATAGTTTCATGTTACTCATGACATGAGAGAAAAAGACATAATAAACAACTATTATTATTTTTATATAAAAAAAATTTACTTTTTTTTTATGTTTTTTATATAAAACAAGACCTTCTAGTAAATGATAAATATTGAGAGATTTTCATTTCCTTGAAAACATAAAACTTCCTAAATTTATTTCATTAATTAAATATGTGCTACCATACTTATATTAACTATACATCACTAGGATTAGTCTGGTGGTGAGGGATTTAGATAGTTTACATGAGGTTATAGGTTCCAATCTTAGTGCCACCATTTGTATCCAAAAAATAAAAAATTATACCATCTCTCAATTTAATGTTTTTTTTTTAATTTTAAAGGGAACATATTCAATAACATAGCCCAAAAGAAATGTCTTACTCTGAAAATTTAAGAATTTCTTAAATCTCTTCTTGACAGAATGTTAAAGGCCAATAAAGCATGGTATGTTAGTGAAGGGACATTTAAAATTCTTAGCTGTTCTCTCGATTCAAAAATATATATATATATATATATATTCCGCTCTATATCATTAAGTAATACATCAGTTCTGTGAGTTATTATTATTTTCTACTTTAACTAATTTTTATTTCTATAACTAAGGTGAAACACATTGAATAGTATACAAATTAATAACTTTTCTTACTTAAATAATGCGTAATTTTTTTTTCTTTTTTTGGTACATAATCACGAATTTCTCTTAAAATTATTACTCTTTCGTTGACTGAAAAAACAAAAAAGTTTCTCTAATTCCTTTATATTACACGTCTAAATAATATTTCATTTCGTTGTACATATTGTGTTTTTAATTAGCATTGTTTGTTTATAATTTTTTCAACTAATTACAAAGATTTAAAATTTCATAAAATAATAATTTTCATGTCATTAAACTTTTTTTCTATCCATCTTCTCTGCACTTTATTCACATAATAAAATATTTTGAGAGTAAAAATATCCTCTTCAATCCTACCTTGTCCTATATTTTTTGTGTGTTTTAAAGCTCATTATAGAAATGGAAAAAAAAAATCTTTAGGTATGAAACATCCCAAAATTTCATGTACTTTACTTAATGATTTTGCTCTTGACTTGTTTTATTTCTTCATTCTGAAGATGATTGGAAAGTGGGGCTCTTGGGATAAAGAAGACGAACCTCTCCGCCCAAGCACATGCTGAGCGATATATCCACACGAATTTTGTGGATTAATGTATATGAAATCAACACAAACTTCAATTCCGCATTATTTCTTAGTTAAATTTAAAATCTTGACAACTATGGATTATCAGCGGCCTTAGTTTCCTTGGGTTACATTAATTTTACCAAAATATCCAAACAAATTAAAATTTTAGAGTACTCTAATATTGTCGAAAAATGTCCGAGGGAGAGCTGAGAATTGAACCCAAATCACGATTAACGTGGGCAAAAGGTTCAACCAATTGTGCCAATCCTCATCGACTAGTAGTGAGTTTTTTATTTCCAATGGGACAAAGAAGGTAACAAACGTAATAGTGATGAAAATAATTTTCACCAATGGGACAAAGAAGGCAACTACTTCATTTTGAACTCCTTTTTCTCATCAAATACATATGATCACTTATGCAATAATACAATACAAATGTAAGCTCTAGTTACAACAATGACATTAATCGGAGTATCGACCTAGTTCACACGTACGATTAATTTGCTTTCTTTCAAAAAAAGCTAGAAGTATAATTTTAACTAAACATACTAAATGTTAAATACACGTACAGTCAACTATGCAATAACACAATCTCTAGCCAGTTACAACTTACAACAGTGTCGTTGGCGTGAAATCAAAGTTAATCTTAATCAACTTCAAAAGTTCCTCAACGTGCATAGCTTCATTTGCATCAAATTCAATATGATGTCTCAAAATAAAAATAAAAATCCATATGTTGAAGAAAATATAGACGAATATCGTAAGTGCCTATTTAAAAGATTAATGGGAACACCGACCAAAATGTCACTTTTCACCAAGTTTTTTACCTAAGTGTCACGCGAACAGTATTATTTCCCAATATGTCACGTGGGCAAGTTCGTTCGGCGCTGTAGCGAATTCTGTTTGCTGACGTGTCACGTTTCTAGTGGATATGTACCAAGTAAAAAAAAAAGCACCAAGTTTGGTACATTGGGTAGCGAACTTGGTTGGAATATGTATTTCAACCAAGTTCGCTACCCCGTGTAGCGAATTTGGTGTCCACTAAAAATGTGACACGTCAGCAAACAGAGTTCACTACAGTGCCGAGTGAATTTGCCCACGTGGCATATTGGGAAATAACGTTATTCGCGTGGCATTTAGATAAAAAATTTGATGAACAGTGACATTTTGGTCACTGTTCCAGATTAATGTATAATGAGAATGAAGTATATGATTGTACATCTCGTGTTGGCATAATCTAGGTAATATGCACCAATATTTGCGGGCAATCTACGTACACGGCACCAATATGTATTGCGAAAACATTATGGGAAGGAATCTGAAAAAAAAAAAACAATATTTTTGTAATTAATTTTAAAAAATGGGGTCAGAAATCCGTTTTTACTTTTACTTTTCTTTGAGCCCTCCATAATTTTATGAGTATATTGTTAATTTTTTTCTTTGCCGTAATATATTGTTAATTAATAAAGTCAGTGACATGGATCAATCCCATTTATACATTACCAAGGTTTCTTTTTATTTTATTTTATTTTATTTTTCTCCTTTCTCTTGCCTCACTCTTCTTGAACTCAAGGTAAAAATGAAGGTCGTTGCATGCCGTACTTGATATAATTACATTGCCGGGGGGGCATTTCAAAAATCTTGAAAATCTTACGAACCTCACCTAGAAGAGACAATCTTTCTAATTTCAACCCACAACTGTTAAGGTGATGCTCCCAGTTTACCAAAAAGCAAAGCATCTTCGGCAGAAAAAATTATGACCCCCATTGACTACAATACCCTTTGAGGGTGACTTCACATCCTCATTATCACCTTTATAAAAGCTGCTTCCAGTCAAATTAATTAGAGTGCCAGCACAGTTACATCTATGGGTACTATGGTCTATAAAAGTTATATATCTTCCCCCCTCCCTTCTAACTTTCAAGAGAGACTCATAGCAAATAAGGATGAAAAATATTAAATAGTCATAATTTTATTAGAATGAGTTGGCATAGTTAATTTTCTCTCTTCTTCTTCTTTTTTTTTTTTTTTTTTGCAATTACCATCATTCATTCTTTATAAACTCTAACTGAAATTCTGTCCAAAAATTTCTATTTCTATATAACTAGGATAGAGTGATAGAATAGGCAGCTTACGTGTGTATTGGGGGGCTTGGCCTCTATTTATGCATGCAAAGCAAAAATTTTACTGTGTGATGAAATTGCGAGGTTTTTATTTTATTTTTTAAAATTCAACTAGTTCATCAATTAATTCACTAATTCTGTCGAGTTAGGCAAGATTATAAGCAATGTTGTTAAAATTGAGATCTTAAGTAAAATCAGAAAGGGATTAAAAAATCGTAAAACGTAAAATCGTAATGTAAAAAAATCGTAAAAGCGTTTGAAGTATTAGTAAAATCGTTTTAATGAAAAAAAATCGCAAAAACGTAAAATCGTAGTGATAAATCGAGATTTTAACAACAATGATTATAAGAATAATAAAACTCTTTCTACCAAATTTTAACATAACTATATATCCAGAACTCAAATTTGGGATTATTAATTAAAATAGAAGAACTCTGTAGCATTTTTTGGAAGAAATATGAGATTTAACTATGACTAAACTCTGACTAGTTAGATATTAATTTCATAAACAGCTCAAAAAGTTAAAATTTATGCGATAATCAGAGCTAACTTGCATTAAAGAGATAAAAAATAAAAATAATTACACAGCAGTGTCATAAAAATGTTAAATTATGAGGGTTTTGTTTCCTTGTGGGGAATTTTTTTTTTTTTTTTCTCCTTCCTTATGGAGCCCATTGAGCTGCTTGTGGGATCAAGTTTCGAGCTTTGTGATTGGGTCACACACTCTCTGTCTCTCTTTTCGAGAGTTTATTAAGGAGGGCTATTACAGACAATCCCTGCTGAAGATGGGGGTTGGAAGGAAGAGAAGAACCCAGAGAGAGAAAGAGAGAGAAAGCTGATACCAAAAAACAAAAACAAAAAAGCTGAAAGTTTAAAAGCAAGTTAAAAGAAAGCTGAGGAAACCGAAAGGAAGAAAGTTAGAAAGAAAGAAAGAAAGAAAGAAAGAGCTTTTATTTTTATCTCTTCCTCTATGTCCTCCTCTTAGGCCTTGTACCTGTTTCATTTCATCTCTCTCTGACTCTCTCTCTCTCTCTCCCTATCTCTCTCTTCTACACTCACACACACCCTCTCCCTCTCCATAATCTCTTAATTTCTTCTTTCCTTAATTCTATCACCAACATAGCCACAGACATAAACATAGGTACTGGTTTCTTCTCTTCTTAGCCTAATAGTATCATCATACAAAGATATAACATAACTCACACTTTTCTACACAGTACCATGTTAGCCAATAACTTATCTCCATCATCAGTTCCCACTTCTGAGCCTTTTTCTAACGCTGAGAATGCCACTGCCACCAATAAAAGAAAGAGAAGACCTGCAGGAACACCAGGTTCCACAATTATATAACTCCAATTTTTTATTTTTCATATTTAACTATATATTATTATATGGTATGGTTATATATATACTTATATCTATATCTTAATTGTTGTTAATTTATTTAATATACTTGATGCTAATTATTATTGTTATTATTTGAATAGATCCAGATGCAGAGGTGGTGTCACTCTCGCCACAAACTTTGTTGGAATCAGATCGTTATGTATGTGAGATCTGCAACCAAGGATTCCAGAGGGACCAGAACCTTCAGATGCACCGGCGGCGGCACAAGGTGCCGTGGAAGCTATTGAAGAGGGAAACACCGGTGGTGAGGAAGAGAGTGTTTGTGTGCCCTGAACCTACTTGCTTGCACCATGATCCATGTCATGCTTTGGGTGATCTTGTTGGTATTAAGAAGCATTTCAGAAGGAAACACAGTAATCACAAACAATGGGTTTGTGAAAGATGCTCTAAAGGCTATGCTGTTCAATCTGATTATAAAGCTCATCTCAAAACTTGTGGCACCAGAGGCCACTCCTGTGATTGTGGCCGCGTTTTCTCAAGGTTAATCATTTTTTTTTTTTTCTATGGTTTTGAGAATTTGATAATCAATATGTGAAAGATAAGATAGATCTATTTCAATTCATTGGTTAATTAGAAAAATGGTGTTGGGATTTTGATAACCTTTTTTTTTTTTAACCTCTATTTCATGTGCTACAAGTTTCTTTTCTTTTTTTTTCCTTAGCAATTGGAAATTCCATGATTATTAATTATCAATTGAGCAAAATATGCTAGCTCTCTTGTTTTACTATAAGGATTTGACTTAGGAAAAGGGAAATATATTTTTTGGAATGGAATATAAAGTAAACAATGGGGGGTGGAAAAAGAAGAGGAGATAATTAAAAAGAAAAGTTCCATTTCACTATTTGATTGATGGAACCCTTCATCAAAAAAAATAATAATTAATTTTTTATTTTTTAAGCAGTTGGGGAGCACGGTTTCCAAAGCTCCGTTTTCCGTTGGTCGAATATAACTGTTTTGTGTTTTGGCCTCAAAATCCTTGTTGCATTTCAACACCTTAAAAAACATCTTTGTGTTTGTGTGATGATCATTCACTCCTTTGACATTGTATAATTTCATCAACGAGCACTATTGAGTAAATCTCAAAACGGCATGAATTCTTGACTTTCTTTTGTCCTTTTATTTGGTGGAAAATGGTACCTCTTCCCCTCCCCACCATTTGAAAACTAGCTGATACCTTTTTCAATCACTTTTTACATCCCACTTTTTCTTTGTCTCCTTTTCTTTCTTTCTTTCTTTCTTTTATATATATTTTTCTCTCTTTACTCTATATAATAATAATGCTCATCTTCATAACCATATGCACCCCCACAAGAATAATGAAAACCCTTTTGAATGGTTCTTTCTCATCATCTTCTTCTTTCCATGTAGGGTGGAGAGCTTTATTGAGCACCAAGATGCTTGCAACATGGGGAACCTCCGGCGAGAAACTCAGCCACTTCAACCACCACCTGCATGCTTATCTAGAACAGCTTCAAGCCCAAGCCCTTCAAGTGAAACCAATTTCAGCACAGGTCCTTGGCCACTAAGACTTGTAATACCAAAGCCAACAGAAACTACATTCATGAACCCTACTCCTATTATTTCTACTCTTGCTGAAACCTCATCCAAGAACAATATAAAACTCCACCCCAACTTGGAACTTCAACTCTCAACCACCAACAACACCAACACCTCAAACCCTATTGATGTAGCATCTGCATCACTATCACCAAAGAGAGATAATAACGAGAACCATTCCACCCAGTTACAACTCTCAATTGGTTCATCAGATATCAGTGAGAAAAACGAATCAAATAGGAATTCATCACCCAAAGAAAGCAGCAACAGCAGTGAGAAGCCAACTTCTGGCATGGCTGCAATAAGGGTTCAAGAACAAGCAAGGGAACACTTGAGGATAGCCATGGCTGAGAAGGCTTTTGCTGAAGAAGCAAGGAAACAAGCAAAGAAGCAGATTGAACTAGCGGAACAAGAGTTCACAAACGCGAAGAGGATAAGACAACAAGCACAAGCTGAACTTGACAAAGCCTACGCTTTGAAAGAGCATGCAATGAAGCAGATAAGTTCCACTTTGCTTCAAATCACTTGCCATGCTTGCAAACAACAATTTCAAGCAAGAACCGCAACAACACTGGATGAAACTACTTTGGTTCTAAGCTACATGTCTTCTGCCATAACAACAACAGAAGGTGGCGTGGTAGAAAACGATAATGGCAAAAACAACTAAGAACTAATGATCATCATCATCATCATCATCATAATCTTTTCTCTCTGTATTATTTTTGTTTTTTCAATATTGTCCACCTTTATGGGGTTAATTAATACCTTTTTTATTTTTTAACTCTTAATATATCTTTGTGAATTGGTATACCAAGTGAAGTGAGTGATGTTGATTATGTAAGTGGGATTAATAGCGGGGCGGAGAAAAGAGTACTGTAATTCCTGTAACTTGCAGTTTGTGCGATGTTATTTGTTAATTAAATTTGGTATAAATGCAGACTATGATAAAAAGGGTTTCGCAAGTTTATATGGTTAATATTTTGATTCTTTAATTTCTAGCTATTATAATGTCGTCCTTGGTGTAATGATGGCGTGTGTATATTTATATTATATAGTCATTATGTATATAATATAATATAATGGGACATATTATTCATAGACTGTTGTAAGAATAAAAAATCTCACGTCGAATCTTGATTATTGATTTAATTGTAACTACTAGCTTAAATATTTGATAAATCAGAATTGTTAGATATAAATAAAATGAATAACCAAGATCAATAAATATAAATTACACCATTGTAAAATGATATGATTCTAATATAATGTATGGTGATTATAAATGTAGGTTTTCCTGCATTGCATTGAATAAGGGTCACGAGAACACTGAAAAATTGCTATCCTAAAGTTTTGGTTGTTTTGGATTATGTGTTTGGAGTATGTGTAGATCATTGTTGGGAAGGCCAGGTAGGGCAGAAAACGGAGAACACTATTTGATAAGCATTAAAGAAGTGTACTAACAAAAATAAAAAGAGAGAGACTAAATGTTTCAGGGAAAAACTGAATACGTTGGTCCTATACTGAGAGAGAGAGAGAGAGGAATCAGATATTCTGGCGACTTTATAAATGTGAATGAAAAGGAGCATGTTTTTCAGTGCCACTGTTGAGAGGGGTTAATGACAGTCACAGACTCAGTGGTCACTCTCAAAGGCACACAGACACAAACAAACTCTATTCATGATGATTCCACCTTCACGTCTCTCTTTTTATCTTTTGCATCAGAATCAGGGCCATCTCAGAAGTGGGCGCAATAGCCAGTAACCCAGAATTAAGCCACAAACTATAAGCCAGCATCTTTCCAAATATGCAGACACCATACGTACAATGCTTTTTCAGGTTTCAAAGGAATTGCTTCTGTTTTCAAAAGTAAAAATATTGAAATATTCAAACGTGATGAGTTATGTATTAATTGGTTAGTAATAGATTAAATGAAGTGTATATAAGGGAACGAAACCATGAATTTAATTTCTTAAGGTTTTCGATATTTGTGATATGGTGTAGGATCCAACCAGATGCTGTTATCAGAGTCGAGTTCAATGAAGGGTTTCACACTTGAGGGAGAGAACTCTTATTATGGGAGTCCATGGCAGGGGACCATCATTAATAAGCTTAAGGCTACACCACTATATCAAGTGAGTCTAATATCATATCTCAATCTAAAATCTTAAGTTGTTGGGTCTTTTCATTTATATCGACTTCACTTAACTCATTATCAACCAATGTTTTATATCCACTTCACTTAATTCATTATCAACCAATGTGTGACTCATCACACTTGAATAATCCAATAAAAAATATAAAAAAATCAAATCAAATCCACATCACAATGGGAATAAATTTACCCTAGTTCATCTAACGTGGATTATATTTAGTAACATTTTATTATATTTTTCTCACCACACTTGATGTAAAGCATTCTGTTTACAAAACACCTCATTGTCTTTCTCTGCATTCTCCCAGCAAGAATTATTATCTGAATGCGAAGTATAAGTTATACTTAGATGCAATGTATACAAGAACGCTACTGCGTGTGATTGATCTGCAACATGCTAGCTACTACATTTAATTGCTAGAACCAATACAAAAAAAACCGTAGAGAAAAGCCAAAGTCATGAGCAGCTTAATTAAAGGATCGTACATATATGTATATACAATTGTCTAGTAATTTCTTCAGCTATTAGCTTTATCACTTGGACCATGTGCTTCTTCATCCTTGTAATCGCTAGCTAGGTAGGTTCAGCATCACTCTCCACTTTGATCTGACGCACAAAATTGATGTACAAATAATAATGAAAGCGGAAGGTTGCAGTGTCAACTGGCCGAGGGGTCCTATATACCTTAAGTTGGCTCCTTTACATTACGTCTTAGTTGTGTAGTGGGTAGGGTTGAGTCCAATTTCATAACTCTTTGTTATCAACCCAATAATAATCCCCGTTCTTTTAGAATAAACAAGGAAAGAAAAAAAAAATAAGGCAAATTAATTAGCAAATGATTAATGAGTTTGTTTGTCTCTATATTCTAGGTAATCATAAAACATTGAGTTAAATATTAAAAGTTTCATTTTTATTTAAAATATAAAGATTCACCTGGATTTTTTATATTTTTTTTCAGGATAGCTACTCCATTAAAAGATGAAATACAATTGATATGTTGTATACCCGATTTGCTTTTTGAGTTATTACTCACAAAAGTGAGTTTTTATAGCACCAAAAAAATAGGAGCGAGTAATTATAACTGGCTTTAGGTTCTTTGATATAACAAAAGTTAGGGTAGCTTATCATTTTGGTTAATTTAACTACCAAACTCTAGGTTCTTGGATATCAAAATGCAATCATGCATGTATGATATTGCCTAAACAAATAAACATATTTATGTAGTAAGTTGGAGGTTCTTCTCCATACAATACAAATTAAGCATAAAAGAAAGGGGGGAAAAACCAACCGAAGCAAGATTGAGTGCTTTATCTACAAACCCAGTACCTAGAACTGCTATTGTTTTTTGTTTTTCAATTCATCATTCAATGATTTGTAATCACAATGAATGTAATTTATTGTTAAAATACAAGCTTTTTGAGAAATTTGCGAAATTGATTTTGCAAAAGTGGAATGTTTGGGGAAAATTTGGTTTGTTTTGACAAGTCTTGATATCATTGACGTTACCGGATAAAGATGTAGTCAAGAAGAAGAACAATGAGTATTTTATAGGGACCTCACCAAAGATATAATAGAAGGAAAAAGAGGTTATAGATAAATTAGAAAAGAAGGAAAAAGACCCCTCCATAGATAAAGCTTTGGTGCACCAATTATCTTGTCCCGGCATCACATTGACAAAAGCCCGTAAAATAAGGATATCCTATTGAATTTGGAGCTGAGTCCTTCACATACAATCTTAATGGTAAATCTGAACTAGCCGCAGATCGTGGAAATCTCTTTTGCTAGCTTCTACATACATCAGAAATCTCTATCTTTTGGACATAAGAAGAGGGGAAAGTTAGGGAATTATTTCTTGTTTGAATGTTTATGAAGAAACAAACAAGAGAGAATAATCGGTTTCTCTAAGAATTAAAAGCTAAGAGATGTAAAAGTTAAATATTATAACGACCCTTGATTTTTATGCAAGAGAGTGGTTAGAATGTATAATTAGAATACGGGAAAATATTGAAAAATATACGTGGATCAATTAACATGGAGTTGTTTCAGTTTAATCAATGATTTCAAACAAAAACTTATAATTGGGTTATTGATAAAATCCGTGAAGAAATAAAAAAATGCGGGGAAATTAAATTGATTTGGATCAAATGAATAACCAAACTTTCAATTTAATGATCTTACACAATAATTAATTTTGTTTTCCTAGATTGGATCTAATTATCCCTTAAGAATATAGGATAAATACTAATTAATAGAATAATATTGAATTAAGAATCAATCAAAAACTTTAATAGATGAATAGAGCCTATCCGTTTTAGAATAATTCAAAATTAATGCAAACACAATCTATTTTCTCAAATTCTACGGATGGCTCTTTCTCGTTGTTTTTTTTTAAAGTGTGTTTTAAACATTATTGGGCATTTACTTATTTTTTTAAAAAATTATCATAAGGAATGGAATATCAATGTTACTTTTAATTGTTGATATTGTTTGGACATGGTTTTTCAAGCTTAAAAAATGTTTTATGTAATTTATTCTGATAAACTCAATTTGTGTGCTCTAATAAGATGGAGAAGTTTATTTTAATTTGAGGCACTACAAGAAAAAATGTAAACTACGATGGAATATATGAGGCAGTTTCAACGGAACCGCCTCCAAATAATTAGCAGAAGCAGTCCAAGAAGCATTTTTAGTAATCGATTGAAAATCAGCATATTACAGAGGCAGTTATAAAATAACTGCCTAAATTTATTGAATACAAAGGCGGTCGTGGAGGCGTGTATACTGGTAGCCTAAAAATTAAGTGAATAACGGGGCAATTTTAGTACAGCAGCCTCCAAATGTACTAATTTTAGGAATCCTCTAATTTGACAATATAATAATCCAATACACAAAATTTCATACATAGAATATAGGGTTTTAGATTCATCATGCAAGTGCAGGACTAAATTTTTTTTTCCTACAAAAAAAAAGACAAGTTAAATAATAATAAAAAAAGTTAAAAATACACAATATTCAATAATTTTATCTTGTCTGTAGTCGTTGCATGACACTAATTTTGTACCTGCAACATGATTCATATTTATCCCTAGAATATATTGCTATTAGCAAAAATTAATTAGTGGGGAGAAATTGTGTATCCACCAATCCCCTTGTACCCTTTATATTATGAGCTTCCCAAATAAATAAGGGTTTGGTACTCCATAATACTCCACTCTCTTCCCAATATGAATGCTAGAGTTGTGGCTTTACAGGGAGGAAAAAGTGTTATCTCAAGCTGCTAAGCCAGTAAGTGTAAATTCATGTCGGCCTTCAATTATCTCACTTTTAAGGAGAAAAAGAAAGAAAGGTGGAAATTGAAGAAATGAAAACCAATCAAACTAAGTTAACAAACAACACAGAGATGGAATCAATTTCAGTGGTTGGTAATAAGATAAGTCTTGGAAATGGTTCACTTAATGAGGTAAAGTTTCAAGATATGCTCTCGAGGCATCATTAGTGTATTTTTGTACAAAAACAAATGAGGCCCAAATTGAGTAATGATCCAAAGTCAATAATTAAGCACAAGCACACATATTCATGGGCCCATAGTTTTGGACGAAGATTCCACGCTTAAAATCATCATTGTAACTGGACCTACTTCATTCAAGTGGCTTCGTACTGTTTTGCATTCTAATGAGGCCTACATTTATTTCCAAATTTTTTGGGTTGTTGACCCAAAAAGCCAAGTGGTCCTGGCTTTGGAGATTAAAGAGTGATGGGGAAACTAGGTTAATTTCTTTCATAATATCATTCTAATTTACATTCACAGTGA